TCATCTTGTTCTATAGGCCGAGGGAGCTGGCATTTGTCTGCAGACAGCTTCCAGGTCATGTGGCCAGCATGACTAAGCTGGTTCTGGTGAACCAGAGCAGCGCACGAAAACGCCGTTTACCTTCCTGCCAGAGCGGTACCTATTTATCTACTTGCACTTTGACGTGCTTTCGAACTGCTAGGTTGGCAGGAGCAGGGACCGAGCAACGGGAGCCCACCCCGTCACAGGGATTCGAACCACCGACCTTCTGATCTGCAACTCCTAGGCTCTGTTGTTTAACCCACAGCACCACCTGCGTCCCTTCCCCAAGACTCACACATGCTTCTTAGCAGAACCCTTTTCTTCTCCTGACAATATGTCAGTTTTGTAACACAACCATGTTTTTGCATTGTAGAATTTGCTATTACCTCTAATTCGGACAGACAGAACTTGACAGAAGATCAAGGGGTTCCTTAATCTCTCTTGGAGGCTTCCTGAGAGCACAGATGGATGAGCAAGACTCAGCTGGCCCTGAAACCAGAAGAGGCCATGCCATCAGAACTGGGAGCAGTGGGGGATTCTGGGAAAACTATGTGCAGAAGATTATGGGTGAGGAGGACACCCTCCACTCAGATGTGCAGAACCAGCAGTTCATGCAATTCTGCTTCCAGGAGGCCAAAGGACCTCGAGAGGTTTGCAACCGACTCCACCACCTTTACCATCAATGGCTGAAGCCAGAAAGGCACATGAAAGCTGAGATGCTGGACCTGGTGATCTTGGAGCAGTTCTTGGCTGTCTTTCCACTGGAGATGGAGAGCTGGGTGAGGGAATGTGGAGCGGAGACCAGTTCCCAGGCGGTGGCCCTGGCCGAAGGTTTCCTCCTGAGTCAGGCAGAGGAGAGGAAGCAGGCAGAGGAGCAGGTGAGAGAGACTTTTCTGTGGTTCAGAACATGAGGGAGAATGTCCCAAAATTCCCTACTAAAGGGCCATTCCTTTTTGGAAAACATCCAAGGAGTGAGATTGGATGCCTCTGCCATTTCTTTTCTAATACTTCTCCCCATTCTGTTTTGAATCTTTGTTGCTCTTTCAGGGAAAAGATCTGTTTGCAGAAATGGGCCTGGATTCCTCTGAGACTGAAAGGACTCCGTTGAACACCAGAGAGAGACCACTGGGTAAGGAGGAAAGCGTCCCGTCCCGTCCCCCTTTGGTGACATTCTGTGGATTTTGAAACAAATCCATGGGTTCTATTCATCTTTTGGGAGAAGACACTTGGTAACAAGAACTCCAAGGAAGGGAGATGTACAGTATTTTTACAGAGCTAAAATATGAAATGGGTTGTTGGCATCTGTCTGTCTCAAGAGTCAATGGAGTGTGTCCTGGTGGTGAAGTCAGACTGCTGTGTTAGCACCAACTTCCCTGGAGAGCAAGCCAGGGCAGTGGAGATCTGGGGCTGCCCAGGTGACATGACCCCCCTCCTCAGCCTTGCTTATGTGGTCATGGAAAGCAGAGCAAGACATTTGGAACCTCCTTGACTACAAGAGTTGCCAGAAGGTCTACACGGTGCCATTCAACCACCTTAGGGACCCCACTCTGGTTTACTGCAAGGCTGCAGGTGTAGATTTTTTCTCAAGTTTTACTCCTGAAGCCTTTCTCACAAATGAGCATAGCTGCAAAGCAGCGGAGGTTTAAGATCAGAGTTCTCCATCTCCTAGACGGGTTACCTTCCCAGGTTGACAAGTCCCATCTGGTACAAATGTCAAAATGCACTCAGCAGATGAGACTTTTTTGGAGGCCCATCTGTACAGTGGTACCTTGGGTTAAGAACTTAATTCATTCTGGAGGTCCGTTCTTAACCTGAGGTACCACTTTAGCTAATGGGGCCTCCTGCTGCCGCCATGCGATTTCTGTTCTCATCCTGAAGCAAAGTTCTTAACCCGAGGTACTATTTCTGGGTTAGCAGAGTCTGTAACCTGAAGCGTCTGTAACCCGAGGTACCACTGTAGTTTGAGACATAGTGCTCAACCTCAGAGGAGAGCATACCCTCATAGCTTCCCACCCACCTTTCTCTCTTGCAGGTGACAGAAGGATGCCAGCAAGACCTCCTCATCCATCTTTACATGGTGGCAGAAGGGAAGCAGTGGCTGTGGAACCAGATCAGGTCGGGGAAAGAGCATTGTGAGGGGGGGAGGTTCAGGGGGGAGCAGCCAGGTACCTCTGGGCCTGAACAAATTCTTCTCCTCCTCTTGGCTTCCATCAAAGCTTCTCTGAAGGCGTCTTTGTCAAGGGCAGCTTTGTCAGAAGCCAAGAGGCTGGGAATGCCACTCAAGAAGCTTAATGTGCTGAGAACAAGGAACAGCCACCTTGCCTTAACTCGCCTTCTGAATGTCACTTGTATGATTTATAAGTCATTGCAGTTTTATTTCTGGAGTCACCACTGAATGCTAAAATAGGCTTCTGTGCAGTTTACACACCATACAAAACAGTGACCAGGATTCAGCTAACCAGCCCCATCAGTTTCACAGGGAGGGTTTCCCTCCCCGCCCCTCCCTGTACCAACCTGTGCCTCTTGAAATTGGCTTTAGGGCATCGGGAGGGTCCCCCCTCCCCCGAACGGCACACAGGGAAACGAGCAGAAATCCTTCTGTCTGGCAAATGGGAATGTTGCCCAGCTGGGAGGCTCTGAAGAAAACAAGGTGGAGTTCCACCCATTTACACCAAGATTAATGTCCATCATTAAAATACATGATAAGAGAATTCCATTGACACACAGATAGGTAGCCGGGTTGGTCTGCCATAGTCGAAACAAAATAAAGAAATTCCTTCCTGTAGCACCTTAGAGACCAACTAAGTTTGTTATTGGTATGAGCTTTCGTGCGCATGAAAAATAAGTGTAAAGAAGTGTGCATCTGAAGAAGTGTGCTTGCACGCAAAAGCTCATACCAATAACAAACTTAGTTGGTCTCTAAGGTGCTACTGGAAGGAATTTCTTTATTTTGTTTCCATTGAGACATTAAAAGATGCATCAATAACATGCGCTGGAAGAAAAAATCCCATTAAAACAACACAGCAGAGAACAGAGAGCTACAGAGCAGGCTTCCAGGCCCACCTACCTTAAGAGAGGCAGCCCCCATGACAGCGAGGGATCGTTGGTGAACGAAATGCAATGATGGCAGAAGGCAAATCACCCTTGCAAATTTCCCCCGGAGAGGGGAAGGAATGGGCTTCACTCGCAGTTTGTCTTGGTACCTGGCTCTCGCTCCAGCATGGAATATGGGAGGCAGGGAGGCGCTGAGTGCAAAAGCACTTTGCCTGGCAAAAACCTTCCTATGCCGCCATTAAGAAGAAGAGGTTCTCCATTTAATTGGATCTTTAATTGGCTTTAAAGTACCGGCACGAGATGGGAAAGCGTTGCAACAACATACTTTTGAATATGCCAGCCACATGGATCAAAGGTTTGAATTGAGATTTTCTTTGGCATGAGAGTCGTTTGGGGAGAGGGAAGCCCACACTTTGTTTGTTCTAAGTTTCATTTATTTATTTATGATTTGGCCACCCTCTCTGGAAAAGTAAGATAAAAAGCTATTTACAAGTGAGGAAGGGGTGTTGGACTACTATTGATATGAACAAGCAAAAATGGAAACTATATGATCTGGAATGAAGAAAGGAGGAGGAGGGGAAGCTCAAGTATGACCGTGTTGGAAAGACAGATTAATTCCCCTCACCTCCATTTAAAGACAACAGACAAGGGAAAATAGACTGAGATTTGTGTGTGCTACTGACGGAATGTAATCGAAGATAAAGTTTAACTGGGCCATAAGTCTCTTGCTGTAAGGAAAAGAATTTGAAGGCTGAGATAAGAGATTCTGGGAGTTGGAAAGGAGTATTAAATCTTTAGCGTGTTTGAAAACTGCCCACCATTTCCTAGGCTGAGGGGATAAATGGTGAAGATCTGTGACATGTTTTACTAGTGAGACAGAATGGTTTCTAGCAGACTGTCACCTGTTCTAAGACATCAAAGAAAGGGGTGGAGAGAGAAGACCTCTGAGAAACTTGCTATTGTTATAGTTTGGCTATTATTGGGGTTATATGGGAAAACTAATTAAAAAATTACTAAAATAAAAGAACAGAGCAATGTGTAGTAGATCATCTTCATTCTGACTAAGAGGAGGACCTCTCTCTTTCTCTTTTAGGGTCTAGTGTGCTTTGAAGATGTCGCTGTTCATTTCACAGATGAAGAATGGGTGTTGCTGGATCCTGACCAGAGAGCTCTGCATAAGGAAGTCATGGAGGAGATCTGTGGGATCATGGACTCTCTTTGTAAGGCTCCCTGTTGGATCATAATACATGTTTGGAAATTCCATACATAGCTCTATGTGATCAACCTTCCAGATTTTGGTGGAACTCACTGCGCCATTTACAGCATCTGGGATTCTAACACGCTGCACAGCTCACCTTAAATGGAGGGCTAAAGACTGTTTTGTCTTTGAATATTCTTCCTCCAATGATTAGCCTGGTCTGAACTGCCCAGGCCTTTTGAACTCTTGGTTTTAGAGAAGTGACAGAAGTCAAAGTAGTTTCTGTCAGGAGTTTCTGTTTTTGTTTTTGCTTCTCTTGGTTTTGGTTGACCAAGGAGACAACTGTCATTGGAGATGGAGCAGATTCCATGATGGGGGCAAACAAATTCCATCCTATGAAAGGGCTTGACTTTTCAAATATCAGGTCTTCATAAATATGTCAGTTAATGCCAGTCAACAAATGAAGTCAAACCTATAGCAAGACTTCACATCTAACACATCCCTTCAGTTCTTCCTCTATCACAGGTGTTAATTAGTATTTTTCAAAAATCAGGGTCTCCATTTATTCCTCAGGTTCTAATACATTTCTCTCTTTGTTGCAGGTGGTGATGAACTGGAAATTAAGAACAAGGGAGGCAATGACAACATCCACACATTGGAGAAGCCATATGAATATTCTGAGTTTGGAAAGAGGTTCAGTCGGAGCGTCCCTCTCACTTCTCATCACAGAATTCACAGCAAAGAGAAACCATATCAGTGCTTGGAATGTGGAAAGAGCTTCAGTCTGAGCACCCATCTCACTTCTCATGAAAGAATTCACAGTGGGGAGAAACCATATCAGTGCTCAGAATGTGGAAACAGCTTTAATTCCAAGAGAAGTCTCACATCCCATCAAAGGATTCATACAGGAGATAAACCCTATCAGTGCTTGGAATGTGGAAAGAGCTTCAGCTGGAAGGAAAGTCTCACTGCACATGGAAGAATTCACACAGGGGAGGAACCATTTAAGTGCATGGAATGTGGAAACAGCTTCAATTCTGAGAGGAGTCTCATTTCTCATCAAAGAATTCATACAGGTGAGAAACCCTACCAGTGCTTGGAATGTGGAAAGAGCTTCAGTCAGAGGGCCAATCTCACTTTCCATCAAAGAATTCATACAGGGGAGAAACCCTATCAGTGCATGGAATGCGGAAAGAGCTTCAGTCAGAGGGCCAATCTCACGGCCCATCAAAGAATTCATACAGGGGAGAAGCCCTATCAGTGCATGGAATGCGGAAAAAGCTTCAGTCACAGGGCCCATCTCACTTCCCATCAAAGAATTCACACAGGGGAGAAGCCCTATCAGTGTGTGGAATGCAGAAAGAGCTTCAGTCGGAAGGAAAGTCTCACCTCCCATCAAAGAATCCATACAGGAGAGAAACCATATCATTGCATGGAATGTGGAAAGAGCTTTAATGCAAGCACAAATTTCCATCAACATCAGAGAATTCATCGTGGGGAGAAACCATTTCAGTGCCTAGAGTGTGGAAAGAGCTTCAGTCAGAAGGAAAGGCTCATTTCCCATCAAAGAATTCATACAGGGGAGAAACCATTTCAGTGCATGGAATGTGGAAAGACCTTCACATGGAAGGACAGTCTGACTTCTCATCAAAGAATTCATACAGGGGAGAAGCCACATCAGTGCTTGGAATGTGGAAAGAGTTTCAGTCGGAACTCAAATCTCGTTTCTCATCAAAGAACTCACAGCGGGGAGAAACCATTTCAGTGCATGGAATGTGGAAAGAGCTTTGCCTGGAAGGAAAGTCTCACTTCCCATCAAGCAATTCATACAGGAGAGAAGCCCTATCAGTGCTTGGAATGTGGAAAGAGCTTCAGGAAGAGAGCCAATCTCACTTCCCATCAAAGAACTCACAGTGGGGAGAACCATAGAATTGTAGAGTTGGAAGGCACCCTGATTATCATCTAGTCCAACCTCTGTTTACAGACCTTCAAGGATAGAGAAACCACCATCTTCCAAGGGAGTCTGTTCCACTGTTGAAGAGCTCTTAATCACACCGCCTCTCTAACAAGACTCTCAGAAAATGAGCACCCATGTGGGTCTGCTTAAAGTTTGGGTGCGACATTCTGGTGTTTGCATTTGAAGTTCCACACACATGTATCAAAATAATTGATGTAATAATGGTAACTACAGTGTAATAGTAGATTTAATGTTAGCTAGGGGTGGGGATAGCATGAATTTGGAATGCTGGGGTGAGTGGTGACTGGCTGAGAGTTTGAAAAGGGGGTTGAATAGAATAATTGAATCATCAATACAATAAGCAAATACAATAAGCAACATAAATAGCAAAAGTTGTGATAAATAGTAAATAAAAAAAGCACAACCAAACTGAACAATTTCCATATAAATCACAGCAAAATCTAAAATAAAGATACAATAAACCAAGAAACCTGCCCCCCCCCCGCCCACTAAGCCCAAGAGTCTGTTCAGCATCTTCAGCTTCTGCAGCTGGAGTCAGTCCGGTCCCTCCCAGGCCAAATGGAAAAGGCCTGTAAGGAGGGAGCACATCTCCCAGGACTTGCAGCCAAGATGGTCTCTGGCCTCCTCAGCAGCCTCTTCAGTAGAGATGACTGGAAGGTGGAATGGCATGGGAGAGTGGGGGCAATGGTGGAGCAGGGCTGGTTAGATCAGTAGTGGAGAGGCAGCACTGTAATCCCCATTGTTGCAGTTGTAGTAGAGTAGCAACAAAACAAAGAAGAAATGGGAACATTTGAAACCATACGTTTATGTACACAAAGTTACCTTGAAACCCTTGTTTATTTTTTAATAAATCCATTGTATTCCACCACTCAGCTCATTATTCACATTTGGGGTGAAGTGTTCAGATTAGAGTTCTCTGGGGGAGTTTGGTGGAAGACCCAGCTCCTACCTGTGCACCTCGAATGAAGTGGGAAGATGGCACAGGGGTGTGTGGGCAGGGCCAGAGCCCCTCTGAGCAAAGATGGTGGGGGCTCAACATGGGGAGATAAACTAGAGGACACTCAGAGCGTTCAAAGCACTGCAGAAGAACAAATTGCCTTCCTTCATCCCTTACCAGAATGGACCGGGCAGGGGCTAGTTTATGGCGATACCCCCTTTGGGATGCCCCACAAACTGTTGTTGGGTCCTTTGGTTAGAGCAGGGGTGTCCAAACTTTTTTCAAAGAGGGCCAGATTTGATGAAGTGAACATGTGAGGGCCAGCCAAAGTTGTGGAGCTTTTTTTTAGGATTTGACCCCAAGAAATAAACTGCCGCAGGGGCCAGATTAAACACTGAGAGTTCCCTCACTGAGAGAAGCCAAGTTACAGGGAACCAGGCAGAGGGCCTTCTTGGTGGTGGCCCCCGCCCTGTGGCAAGCCCTCCCACCAGATGTCAAAGAAATTAAGAACTACCTAACTTTTAGAAGACATCTGAAGGCAGCCCTGTTTAGGGAAGTTTGATGTTTTATCTTGTTTTTAATATTCTGTTGGGAGCCGCCCAGAGTGGCTGGGGAAGCCCAGATGGGTGGGGTATAAATTATTATTATTATTATCATTATTTCGAGTTAGATTAGGGCCCCCCAAAAAACAGACTTTGGACATGCCTGGGTTAGAGCAAGGGAAAATGGGGAGGTGACCAGGGAAAAGAAGGAGCAAAGTGGGCTTTGAAGCTTTAGATCGTCTCTATTGATTGTGACCAAAGTTCAGTGTGCCTGCAAGCGAAGAAAGACGCAGCCTGGGAAAAGGTGTGCAACTGTCTTTTAAATATTCACAATCTGGGACACCCCCTTTCCAAGCGGCAGTGGGGGGGGGGAGGCTACAAGGGGGTCAGGCAGGTCAAGGTGTGTCTCATTCCAGGAAGATTGGAGAATTTACATATTCCAGACACAGTTGACACAAGGCCAATATTGACATGGTCCCCTCAGGTAGCACACCTGGACAAACAGTACAACATTTGAAGACAATTGGCTGATTAGACCCATCAATTGAAAGAAGATCATGGAGGATATTCGGTTTCCCGAAATGCATGGGGGAACACACAGCACACAAGTTCCAAAAGCAAGAACCGTACGTTTACGAACGATTTTATACAAAGTTTCATTGAAAAACACAAGCTTTCCTTTGTGAAACAGCTCAGATAGAATGTTTCCACTTTCCCAGAGAAAGGAGGAGGAGGACCGGGACAAGCTGCTCCTCCTGTTTCTGGGCCAGGGAGGGGGAAGCTCAGCCCCCGGCCAGGAGGGTCCCCCAAATAAAGCATCTCTGGGTGGCTCTCCGGGGCTCCTGCTCTCCAGAGGGAGAGAAGAGGGAGAGCTGGGTGCGCACGGCTTGCCAAGGGTTAAACAGAAAGGAGCTGGATTCCTAGAGAGGGCAGGAAAGAAAGACGGGGAGGGCAGGTCCTCCAGAGCAAAAGCCCCTCCCCGCCTCCCCAGACTTTTCCTACAAAAAAGGGGGCGCTTCTGTCTCTCCTGCCAATGCTGCCCCGGCGGCGCCTGCTGGGATCCGGTGAGTCTCCTCTCTCTCTCCCCAGAGGGTGCAGTGGGGGTCCCAGGGCTGCAGGAAAGCGTGCGTGTGGGGAGCCTGCAAGGGGGGGGACCCCCAAGTCAGGGCGCGAAGAGTCCTGCCGGGGAGGGCCGAGGTCGCAGGAGGGCGGCAACCCTGCTCTTCCTTTGCATAGATGCACAACTGGCTCCTTTGAGAGGCGAGAGCTTTGGGTGGTTGTTGTTGCTGCTGCTGAGTCCTTTAGTCGTGTCCGCCTCTTCGTGACCCCCTGGACCCGAGCACGCCAGGCCCTCCTGTCTAGAGGTTTATGGAAGAAGGTGATGTCCAAGTCCGCCTACTCTGTAAGAGTAAAATGCCTCTGGGAATGGGGAGAATCAGTTATGGCATTGAATTCATACGGTTTCCAAAGACTAGTCCTCTTCCAGCGCTGTCAAGTCCAAAAGGGTACATTTTGACACTTCTTGTTATAATGTAACACGTTTAACGCAATCGAAAGCAGAGTGGATACAGTTAATGGACTTCCCCCGTTGTCTGCGCAATTGGAGGGCGCTCAGTTAACCGCGCAAAGGCTGAGCTGAGGGTTTTGCAGCGACCCCCTGCCAGTTGCTGACTTTGCACAGTAGGGGTCGCTGTTCGGTAATACCCGATTGGCTAGCTGTCAGATTTTAAAGCTCCCTATTGGTTGACCTCAGGTGATTCACAAAATGCGGATTTTGTTCATAAAACAGTAATATGCCCTTTTAATTGATACACACTGAGTTTATATTTCAGCAGTTGATTACTGCGAACGTACAAGATGATGGCTAAGGTGGACTGTAGTGCTTATGCAACTGTGAACGAAGGCGGTTGGGCTCCCGGGTTTTGGGGAGGGAGGGGAAAACTGTTTCCGTGTAGTGCCCCCCCCTCATTTTCCGTAACAGATGCTTTAGTCGAGATTCCTGCATTGCAGGAGGTTGGACTAGATGACCCTTGGGGTCCCTTCCAACTCTAGGATTCCTGACTCCCAAGCTGAAATAATGCAAGAAAGCCCCGAATTAATTGGGAGCCAAATACTTGAAAGCATGTATTTGATAAAATGGTAGGAATGCAGGAATCTCAATTAAAGCATCCATGTCAGAAGGCCAAACTCTGCTCAAAAACTTACAAGGAAGGAGAGGAGGAGAAAACAAGCTTCTTTGTAGCCTCGTGAATCAGAAGGATGGGGATGTGGTCCGTGGGCTTTTCTTTATAAGACTGGGCAAGTTCTCTGTCACTTCTCGGCTTTTGATGTCGTTGAGTACTTTAGTCGTGTCCGACTCTTCGTGACCCCCTGGACCAGAGCATGCCAGGCACTTCTGTCTTCCACTCTCTCCCTCATGCTGGTAGCTTCCAGAACACTACCCACCATCTCGTCCTCCGTCGCCCCCTTCTCCTTGCGCCCTCCATCTTTCCCAACATCAGGGTCTTTTCCAGGGAGTCTTCTCTTCTCAGGAGGTGGCCAAAGTCTTGGAGCCTCAGCTTCACGATCTGTCCTTCCAGTGAGCACTCAGGGCTGATTTCCTTCAGAATGGAGAGGTTTGATCTTCTTGCAGTCCATGGGACTCTCCAGAGTCTCCTCCAGCACCAGAATTCAAAAGCATCCATTCTTCGGCGATCAACCTTCTTTGTGGTCCAGCTCTCAATTCCATACATCACTACATATTAAAACTGAGGATTTTATCCGCATTCCATCGCCAGACCTGAAGCAAGATCTAAACGGATTAGCAGACAGGGATCATGGGGGGGGGGGGCGGATCCAGTGTAACGAGGGCTATAATGGTATAATTGTAGAGCTATACTGGGAAAAGGAGGTTAGGGTTAAAAGGGTTAAAAGGAGCAGAGCTGGCTTCCTAGAAGGGACAGGATGTAAGGGGGGGGGCAGGTCCTCCATAGGAAAAGCACCTTCCTTCAAGAGTTAAAGGGAACTGCCTTCCTGGAGAGGCCCGCCAATAAAAGGGGGGGGCCTGTTGTCTTTCTCTGAAAATGTTGCCTCCGTGGCCCCTCCTGGGACCCGGTGAGTCCCCTCTCCCTTGACCCATAGGGCCCCATTGGGAGAAGGGGGGTCCCAGGGCTGCAGGGGGGAGTGCATGGGGCGGGGCTGCTCAGCTCCTGCAGGGGGGGGACGACCCCCAAATCCAGAAGCAGGGGGTCCTGCCGAGAGGGTCGAGGGCGCAGGAGAGAGGCAGCTCTGCGCTTCCTTTGCGCCTTTGGGGAGGGTCTTTGGGTCGGGGGGGGGGAAGGCATGCAAACCCCAAATTCAGATTTACATTTATTAACTGAAGTTGTAGCCAGACGTAAAACGGAGAGCTTGGCCTCAGTGATAAAGATTTAGGACAGAGAAAATGAAATCGCTCCATCTGACCGTGTGGAATTAAACCCACCGATTCGAGATGGCTTTGAAAGAGGACGAGGCCAGTTGGTGGAGCGGGAGGAGAGGGCGGGGGGGGGGCTCCTGTGCTCTGTCTCCCCCTTGGAAGCTGCAAGGCGTCAGAGCCCCAGTTGCTGCAGGTGGAGAGAGGGGCTCTTGCGTCCCAGTCCTGCTGGTGGGCTTCCCATAAGGGGCCCCTGGTTGGCCCCTGTGGGAAGAGGAGGCTGGACGCAAGAGGGGCCCCTTTGGCCTGATCCTGCAGGGCTCCTCTTCTCTTCTGGTGCTGAGCTCCTCCAGATGCAAGTGGGCCCTCCATTCTCCTTCCATCAGAGGCAAAGCTTTCCCCACCCCTGAAGCAGGCAGGACTGCTATCCAGACTCCTGGCTGACACGGGTGTGTCCATTCAGACACACAACCCCTCCGATGTTCAGAGGATATTTTGAGGCCCACAACTTCTACTTAATTTGATAATGTGAAAAGACGTGTGTTTATATGATGTATAAAGAAGTCATATGGTTAAACACAGCTGGTTACGTTGTGGGTGGTATTGTTAGTTGGATTTACGTAACTATAGGTTTGATAGTGTTTTGTAGAATTTGCTAGCACCTCTAATCCATATGGACAGAACTTGTCAGATCATCAAGGATTCCTTCATCTCTCTTGCAGGCTTCCTGAGAGCACAGATGGATGAGCGAGACTCAGCTGGCCCTGAAGCAGGAAGAGGCCACGCCATCAGAACTGGGAGCAGTGGGGGATTCTGGGGAAACTCTGTGCAGAAGATCCTGGGTGAGGAGGACACTCTCCACTCAGATGTGCAGAGCCAGCAGTTCAGGCAGTTCTGCTGCCAGGAGGCCAAAGGACCCCGAGAGGTTTGCAGCCGACTCTACAACCTTTACCATCAATGGCTGAAGCCAGAAAGGCACACGAAAGCTGAGATGCTGGACCTGGTGATCTTGGAGCAGTTCCTGGCTGTCCTTCCACCGGAGATGGAGAGTTGGGTGAGGGAATGTGGAGTGGAGACCAGTTCCCAGGCGGTGGCCCTGGCCGAAGGTTTCCTCCTGAGTCAGGCAGAGGAGAGAAAGCAGGCAGAGCAGCAGGTGAGAGAGACTTTCCTCTAGATACTCCAAAGGGGCTCCGAACGTGAGTGACAATATCTGAAAATTCTTTATTAATATACCATCCTTTTTTGGATGGCAGCCATTGAATGTTATCAGATTGTCCTTCAGTTTTTGTCTCTGTCATTCCTTTTTTTTTTTTTTTTTTTTTTTTTTTTTTTTTTTTTTTTTAAAAGTTTCAATCACCTTTATTCAACGCTTTTGTTACAAACTTTACAAGGTACTTTTAACAGCTTCCAAAACGGGTCCCTTTTTTGTGTGGAAACAGATATATTCTTAACAGCTCACAATTTTACTTAGTGAGCTTCTTCCCTAGCCTATCCCATACCCCTCATTTTTCAATTTATGGTAAGCCACGGTAGTGTAAAGTTTTGTTGGTTCAAGAAACATAGGTGGTTCCTTCAAACGTATGCTCACAGTTATGTATGTTTAAACCCATTTATATCAATGGGATGAAGGATGAGCAATTGGGTACAGAATTATAGCTACTGTCAAAAGCCTGGCTAACATGAACTACTATGATCTGCAACTGAGACAACCTTGAATAATAATAATTAAAAAAACCACACAAAAGTCAATCCAGGTCCCATCCCCATGAATGTATCACTTTGCCCACATTTGTGACTACTCAGCTAGAGAGAAACAGCCTGGAGATTAAAGTAGTACAAGAAAATAACTACCTGAAACATGTTTAAAAAATACCCGTTAAATTACCTTAAACTGGCAGCACTTGAGATGGTAATTCTTATATTCCCCTATAATTTATTTTAAAAAATATTGCATAGCTGCTAAATTATGCTCTCTCTCTCTTTTCTTTTTTTCCCAGTTTTGCTGCTGCATTGATATCCACAAGCAGTAAAGGTGAATTTCAGTAAATGAACACAGTATGCGGATTTCAATTAACTCTATAGCCTGATCAACGACGTCAATTAATGATCTGCCTTGATTACATTTTGCTCTTTGGGCTGCACTCTGGCAAAGCTTTACTTAAAAAATAAAAATAAAAAATCCTAAGTCAAGGAATGTTGCATTCTTTCACAGAAAAAATGTGAACAGCATAAAGGGTGCAAAATTTCATGAGGAAGTTCACACCGCTTAACTGTATGTACTTCATAGATTGCCTTTACCCCCAGTCCCAAGCTCATGGTACACAGTGGGAGTAGGGCGGATTCCAACTCCAAAATGGCGTTTTCCTTGTACAATGTCCCAGAATCTTGATCCGGAGCACACAGCTTCCATTCAAGAAAGAACGTGAGAACAAACTGCTTCTGTAGCCAGTTTTCTTTTTTAAAAAAAAAATTAAAATGAAAGTTAGTAACTTTGGCCTGTAAATACAAAATGTTGTCCGTAAAGTCTGTGGGAAGAGGACTTTTCCAGGATGTGCAGCATTTTCAAGAATCCCTGTGTCTCCTTTAAGCTGAGTGTCGGTACACCGAGCTTCCAGCTTCGCATCACTTGTCCCGTGTCATGTTCCATCTCCCTCTTAACTTTCCAGTACAAAGTGAACAGAAGTCCAGTCTCACGTCGGCATCTGAAGATGGAACGCCAAATCCTTTACACGTGATGATCAGTGTGAGAGAACAAAACAGGAAACTCTGATGTTAATCTGAGGGATGCTCAGGACAAGATCTGTTTACTTCAAACCATTCGTCTATGCATCCTTTATGATATATGCATAGACAAGGCAATCGTGCTATTGTATCCCCTTGCTGCAGCTCTTCCAGGCATATTGCACACTCCCCAGCGTCTTTACTCAGCACATCCTCATTGTAGGTTATCCTTGGTTTTGTCAAACACATCACAAGATGTAAATCCATTTCATCTGAAGAGACAAACTTGGAACAAACAGGGCACTTGAATCCTCCGAACAGGTGAGGCGAGAGGTGGGCGGGCAGCGAGCCGATGACGAGCCGGGGCCGGCCGCTGCCGTGTCCTCCTCCAGCACCGCCGCCTCCACCTCCTCCGGCCGCGGCCCGTTCCCTGCCCCCTTCCTCGGGGGTGCTGCTGACCGAGTCCTGCGAGCCGTAGAGGCCGCTGCTGTTGGGGATGTTGAAGGCAGAATGAGCCGCGCGAGCCCCGGACGCGCCCGGCCCGCCTAGAGACCTGCTCCGGGGCGCCGCCGCCGACGCTCCGCTGGCCGAGCCGCCGGGCCCCGCGTGGTGCTGCCCTCCCGGGGCCAGGTGCGTGTACCTCGCCGCGCCGCCTGCCGGCCGCCCGTTCGCGCCGCCGCCGCTACTGGAAGGCAAGTCCCCCCCGGAGTAAGCCCGGGTCCGGCCATTGGCGGCGGCCGGGCCGCTCTGCTTGGCGCCCATGGCCCGCCTTTCCTCGCCGTCTGGCTGCGGTTCCTCTCAGGCTCGGCTGCTTCCCTGCGCGGGGCGGGGTAGGCGAAAGCGCGCCGCCCTCGCTCCTTTCCCCGGACCCGGCAGCTGAGGGAGAAGAGCCGCCGCGGCTTTCAGCGGGCGGGCCCGGCGCTGAGGCGGCGCTGCCTCCGCCGCGGCGAGTCCCTCAGAAGAACGACGGGCGAGGGAGAGGACGACGGGGAAGCCAGTACCGCTCTGCCGGGGAACGCTGCCCAAGCCCTCGGCCCCGCCGCTCCGGCCATCGTCGCTGCCGCGGTGGTCGTCCTCTGTCATTCCTTTTCTAACTCTTCTTCATATTCTCTGTTTTGAATCTTCGTTGCTATTTCAGAGACAGGATCTGATTGCAGAAATGGGCCCAGATTCCTCTGAGACCAAAAGGACTCTGTTGGACACCAGAGAGAGGCTGCTGGGTAAGGAAGGAGTCCGTTCTCCGTTTGGTCCCTTCCTGTGGATATCAAAACGAATCCATGCGTTCTTTTCATCTTTGGGGGGAGGACACCTGGGAGCCAAGAGCCCCAAGGAGATGTGTATCTTTTACACATCTAAATTATGAAATGGGTACAAATGTCTAAATGTACTCAGCGTGGGGTATAACATAAGCTGTCAAATACAGCATTTCCAATTTGCCTAGAGTGGACATGCAGGGGAATGTTGGTCCAGCCAGTTCAACTTCCTGTTCCATCTGGTCTGGAGCATCCTTCCATTGCATGTGACCAGGTAGGTGGGTGTGACCCTTCCAGACCCACAAAAGGTCCACCTCCTCTTTTGATGCCTTTTATTCTCCCGGACTGCACTGCTGGCTCTCAGCCACCAGGACATGGGCTCATTCTCATATGGGATGGACTCAAACCCTCTTCTGTAACTCTAAGCTAAAGCCTGCTTTCAGGGATCCAACTGTGAACTGAATGTGAGTAAACTTCTTGTTACTTTTAAAAGAAGACTGTTGTGTCTTTATTCTTTTAGGAGATAATCAAAGGGGGTCTTACCAGGAATATTAGAACTTAAGATATTCTAACAAATCTGCAACTAGCTTCCTGCTGTGTAAAGAGGGGGTTGTACTCTGCTGTATGAATAAACTCAGTCGTGTGAGTTAGGAAGGATAATATTTAATCAATATATCCTCTCCTGCTACCCACAACATTCCCACACTCAGAAGGTGAGACTTTTTGGAGAGCAGCTGCACTCCTGGCTTCCCTCTTACCTCTGTCTCTCGCAGGTGACCAGATGATGCCAGCAAGACCTCCTCTTCCATCTATTCCTGGTGGGGAAGGAGAAGCAACGGCTGTGGAAGCAGCTCAGGTAGAGGGAGGGAGCCCTGTGGGGAAGGGGGCTGAGGGGTGGGGCAGCCAGGGTGCCTCTGGCCCCCAAGGAATCTCTTCACCTCTTGGCTTCTGTCCAAGCTGACCTTAACAAGGGCTGGAAAGGCCATTTGAGAAGCTTAATGTGCTGAGAATAAGGAACAGCCACCTTGCCTTAACTCGCCTTCTGAATGTTGCTAGTCTGATTTATCAGTCATTATAATTTTATTTCTAGATTGATCAATGGATGCTGAAACAGGCTTCTAAGCTGTTGACAAACCATACAGAACAGTGGCCAGCAGGACCTACCCAGAACCATCCATTTCACAATGGCACTTTCCCCCCTCCAAGTGCTTCTACCCCCCCAGGGCCCCCTTGCACCCCTTGAAGTGGGCTTTAGGGCAACAGAAGGGTCCCCCCCTCCAGAAAAGCACACAGGGATAGGAGAGTGGGAATCCTTCCATCTGGAAAATGGGTAATGTTGTGCAATGTGGAGTTCTACCCATTTACACTTAGATTAAGGTCCATTATTAAAATACAGAATAAAATTCATAATAAAAAAAATATTAAGACGTTAAAAGAAGCATGTCTGAGAGGAGAACTTTCTCTTTCTCTTTTAGGGTCCAGTGTGCTTTGAAGATGTTGCTATTCATTTCACAGATGAGGAGTGGGCGTTGCTGGATCCTGACCAGAGAGCTCTGCATAAGGAAGTCATGGAGGAGAATCGCAGGATCGTGGCCTCTCTCAGTAAGGCTCCCTGCTGGATCATAATGTGTGTTTTGAGATTCCATACATATCTCAGTGAAGAACCTCCCAGATTTTGATGGAGCTCAATAGAACCATTTAGAGCACCTGGGATTCTTCTCTGGGATATAACTCATCTTGAACGGAGAACTATTGACTGTTTGTCTGTAAATATTCTTGCTCCATTTATGCCATGGAGGCTGATCTGAACTACCCAGGCCTTTTCAAATGTAGGCTTCAGAGTTGTTGTGGAAGTAGCTTCTCTCAGGTCCTTTGTTATTGCTTCTGTTGGTTTTAAGTTGTCCAAAGAGACGACCAAGATGGAACAGATTCCATGATTGGGCCAAACAAAATCCACACTGTTGTAAGACCTCACATGTAAATAATAATACAGTGGTACCTCCGTTTACAGGGGACGCGGGTGGTGCTGTGGGTAAAACCTCAGTGCCTAGGACTTGCCAATCGCATGGTCGGCGGTTCGAATCCCCGCGGCGGGGTGCGCTCCCATTGTTCAGTCCCAGCGCCTGCCAAGCTAGCAGTTTGAAAGCACCCCCGGGTGCAAGTAGATAAATAGGGACCGCTTACCAGCGGGAAGGTAAAGGGCGTTTCCGTGTGCTGCGCTGGCTCGCCAGATGCAGCTTGTCACGCTGGCCACGTGACCCGGAAGTGTCTGCGGACAGCACTGGCTCCCGGCCTCTAGAGTGAGATGAGCGCACAACCCTAGAGTCTGGCAAGACTGGCCCGTATGGGCAGGGGTACCTTTACCTTTACCTTTACCTCCGTTTACAAACTTAATTTGTTCCAGAGGTCCGTTCTTAACCTGAAACCATCCTTAACCTGAGGTGTGCTTTTGCTAATGGGGCCTCCCGCTGCGGCGCATGACTTCTGCTCACATCCTGGGGCAAAGTTCGCTACCTGGAACACCTACGTCCGGGTTAGCAAACCTCGTTACCCAAAGTGTTCGTAAGGAGGACGATACGTAACCTGAGGTTCCACTGTAATAACACTTCGAATGGTGCTCAGAAATGGATCGTGAGCCAGTGAAGATTTTTTAGGACTGGTGTTATACGTTCTTGGTGGCCACTCCCAGTCGCCAGTCTAGCCTCCACATTCTGGATTAGTTGATGTTTCCGAGTTACCTTCAAAGGTAGCACCACGCAGAGTGCATTGCAGTAGTAAAAGGTAAAGGTAAAAGACCTCCTGGACAGTTAAGTCCAGTCAAAGGCGACTATGAGGTGTGGTGCCATCTTGCTTCAGGCCGAGGGAGCTGGTGTTTATCCACCAAGCTGGAGATAACCAGAACTTGAACCACTCTGGCAAGTCAGTCTGCAGGCAGGGAAGGTCTCAGCTGGCATACCAGATAGAGCTGGCAGACAGCTGCCCTGGGCACAGAATTGACCTGTGCCTCCATGGAAAGCTGAGTCCAAAATGACCCCCAGGCTGCGCACCTGGCCCTTTAGGACACAGCTACCCCATTCAGGAACAGGAAGCCCCCACTCCTGCCTGCCTCCTGTCCCCCAAAAAGAGTTCTTCAGTCTAGTCGGGATTTAACCTCCATCCACCATCCATCCTCCATCCACCTCCAGACAGCCACACAGGGCATTCACCACTCTCATTGGTTCTGATTTAAAGGAGAGGTAGAGCTGGGTATCATCCACATACTGATGAACACCCAGCCCAACTCTCTTGATGATCTCTCCCAGTGGCTTCATATAAAGATTACAAAGCATAGGGGACAGGACGGAGTCCTGAGGCACCCCACAAGTGAGCACCCAGGGGTCTGAACACTCATCCCCCCCCACTTTCTGGACATGGCCCAGGAGGAAGGAGGGGAACCACTGTATGACGGTGCCCCCAGCTCCCAGCCCCTCTAGATGGTCCAGAAGGATGTTATGGTCGATGGTGTCAAAGGCCGCTGAGAGATCCAGCAGAACTAGGAAACAGCTCTCACCTTTGTCCCTAGCCTGCAGGAGATCATCGACCAGTGCGACCAAGGCAGTTTCAGTCCCATGATGAGTCTAATTTTAGTCTCTTTTATGAGCCAGGATGGGCAAGGATCAAAGAGACAGGTGGTTAGTTTCACTTGCCCAAGCATCCTGTCCACATCCTCGGAGGTAACAGGTTGGAATTGGTCCCATTGACTAGACAGGACCCTAGTATTTCCCTTCTCCAGCCCTGGTGCCATGTTGGAGTCTCTTTCCAAAACTGAGCAACTTTATCCGCAAACACCTGCAAAATGATTGCAGGAGGTCTTGGGGTCCTCCCCAGGCCCCAATGGCAAAGGTGGTTCCATTATTAACATCTTTATGCGCCCCCTTGCCCAGATTATCCGGAGCTTTGGGCTGGGCTGTCACCAATATGCTGATGACACTCAGCTCTATCTGCTGATGGATGGCCACACCGACTCAGCCCCGAACACACTGACCAGATGCTTGGAAGCTGTGGCTGGATGGTTTCGTGGGAGCCAATTAAAACTAAATCCTTCAAAGACAGAGGTCCTATGGCTAGGTCGGGATGGCATGGGGATGAGGGACCAACTCCCTTCTCTTGCGGGGGCCCAATTAGCGCCATTGCCTTCTGTTAAGAGTTTGGGTGTAATCCTTGACGCCTCCCTTTCCATGGAGGCGCAAGTTACAGCAACAGCCAAGGCGACATTTTTCCACCTTCGCCGCATCAAGCAGTTGGTCCCTTACCTTTCCCGCCCCGACCTGGCCACAGTGATCCATGCGACGGTCATGTCCAGGCTTGACTACTGTAATTCGCTCTTCGCGGGGCTGCCCTTGAAGCTGTCCCAGAAACTCCAGCGGGTACAGAATGCTGCAGCGAGGCTCCTCACGGGGTCTCTGCCATGGGAGCATATTCACCCAGTGCTTTTCAAGCTGCACTGGCTCCCGGTGGAGTACAGGGTCAGATTTAAGGTGCTGCTTTTGACCTTTAAAGCCCTTCACGGCCTAGGACCCTCGTACCTACAGGACCGCCTCTCCTGGTATGCCCCACGGAGAGCCTCAAGGTCCATAAATAACAACACCCTAGTGGTCCCAGGCCCTAAGGAAGTTAGATTGGCTTCAACCAGAGCCAGGGCCTTTTCAACTCTGGCTCCGGCCTGGTGGAACGCTCTGCCTCATGAGACCAGGGCCCTGCAGGATCTGATCTCTTTCCGCAGGGCCGGTAAGACAGAGTTGTTCCGCCTGGCCTTTGGCTTGGAGCCAATTTGATTCCCTCCCTCCCTCCCTCTCTTTCTTTTTTCTTTTCCTTCTCCTCCTGCAATGAGGCTACATTTTAATATTTTAATGTTCCATTATTTTAATGTTGTATTTTATTTTTGTTTTTAAGTTGTAATCATTCTTCTTGTTTTTATTATTGCTTGTAAGCCGCTCTGAGACCGGCCTTGGCTGGGGAGGGCGGGGTATAAATAAATTATTATTATTATTATTATTATTATTATTATTATTATATCATGAACCATCTGAAATAATCTCCTACTGCCGTTTTCTGCAGAGGCTATAGAGGTGGTGAATAAAGTCCTTGCCATCACTATCACCATGGTAGGCTCAGTGTTGAGCTCTAACCAGTGTCCAGCCCAATTCAGAATGAGTTTTCCACTACTAGCTCTCTAGCCATCTCAGCAATTGTTTCATTGACCTGAGCTCCAGGGAAACTATGGGCAGGGTGGGCTCCATGCAATAGGAGAGGAAGAACTCCCTTCAGTTCTTCCTCTATCACAAGCATTCATTAGCATTGTTCAATAATTTGAGGGTTCATTTTTTCCTCTGGGTCTAATCCATTTCTCTCTGTACTGCAGGTGGTGATAAATTGGGAAGTAAGAACAAAGGAGACCAGGACAAAATCCACACAGTGGAGAAGCCATATAAATATTTGGAGTGTGGAGAGCGTTTCAGACAGAGATTGCATTCCACTTTCCATCAAATAAATCCCATTAGGAAGAAACCATATCAATGTTCAGAATGTGGAAAGAACTTCAAGTGGAAAGATAGTCTCATTTCCCATCAAAGAATTCACAGTGGGGAGAAACTATATCAGTGCTTGGAATGTGGAAAGAACTTCATTCGCATCTCCCATCTCATTGCCCATCAAAGAACTCACAGTGGGGAGAAACCCTACCAGTGCTTGCAATGTGGAAAGAGTTTCAGCCAAAGGGCCAATCTAACTTGCCATGAGAGAATTCATACAGGGGAGAAACCCTACCAGTGCTTGGAATGTGGAAGGAGCTTCAATCAGAGAGCCAATCTCACTTCCCATCAAAGAATGCATACCGGGGAGAAACCATATCAGTGCTTGGAATGTGGAAAGAGCTTCATTAAAAGGGCCAATCTCTATTCCCATCAAAGAACTCACAGCGATCAGAAACCATATCAATGTTTTGAATGTGGAAAGAGATTCCGTGAAAACATCCATCTCATGACCCATCAAAGAATTCATACAGGGGAGAAAACATATCAGTGTTCAGAGTGTAGAAGGAGTTTCAGAAAAAGCTCCAATCTCACGGCCCATCAAATAATCCATACAGGGGAGAAACCACATCAGTGCATAGAATGTGGAAAGAGCTTCTGTAAGAGGTCCAATCTTATGGCCCATCAAAGAATCCACACTGGGGAGAAACCATATCAGTGTTTGAAATGTGGAAAGAGCTTCACTTGGAAGAAAAGTCTCACTTCCCATCAAGGAATTCACAGTGAGAAGAAAATATATCAGTGCTTGAAATGTGGAAAGAGCTTTAACAGAAGCCAAGCCTTCCATCAACACCAGAGAATTCACCATGGAGAGGAACACCATCAATGCCAAGAGTGTGGAAAGAGCTTCAGTCGGAAGGAAAGCTTCATGGCTCATAAAAGAATTCATTCAGTGGAGAAGCCATATCAGTGCTTGGAATGTAGAAAGCGATTCAGTGAGAATGTCCATCTTACAGATCATCAGATGATTCATAAAGGGGAGAAACCATATCAGTGCTCAGAATGTACACGGAGCTTCAGAAAGAGCTCTAATCTCAAGGCCCACCAAAGAATTCACAGTGGTGAGAAACCCTATCAGTGCCTGGAATGTGGAAAGAGCTTCACCCGGAAGGAAAGTCTCACTGCCCATCAAAGAACTCACAGCGGAGAGAAACCATACCAGTGCTTGGAATGTGGAAAGGGGTACAGTAAGAGGGCAAGTCTCACTTCCCATCAAAGAATCCATACTGGGGAGAAACCACACGGGTCCTTGGAATGTGGAAAGAGCTTCAGTCACAACGCCCATCTCATGGGCCATCAAACAACTCACAGCAGGGGGGAACCATAGTAAGAACTGTGTACAAATTTAATTTTAGGATGATTTAATGAGGAGGATGAGGATTACAGTAGTAGTAGTAGTAGTCATAGTGATCTTATTTGTACCCTGCCCATCTGGTTGGATTGCCACAGCCATTCTGGGAGGCTTCCAACATATGGTCATACCTCGGGTCAAAGTTGCTTCAGGTTGAAAGTTTTTGGGTTGCGCTCTGCGTTACTTCCTGGTTTTGCCACTCGCGCATGCGCAGACGCTCAAAATGACGTCATGCGCAGAAGTGGCGGATCACAACCCATGCATGCGCAGACGTGGGTTGTGTTCACTTCAGGATCCCGTTCGCATCCAGAGGTACCACTGTATATAAAAACATAATAAAACATTAAAAAGCTTCCATTTACAGGTCTCCCTTCAGATGTATACTGAAAGTGAGAGAGTTTTTTATTTCCTTGACATCTGATGGGAGGGCTTTCCACAGGGCGGGTGCCACCACCAAGAAGGCCCTCTGCCTGGTTCCCTATAACCTCACTTCTCGCAGGGACAGAACTAACTGCCAGAAGACCCTTGGAGCTGGACCTCAGTGTCTGGGCTGAACGATGTGGGTGGAGAAGCTTCTTCAGGTCTACTCAGTGAGGCCATTCAGGCTTGTGCTTGGAAATGTACTGGGAACCAGTGAAGATCCTTTAAGACCTGTACTATGTGGTCCCGGCAGCTGCTCCCAGTCCCCAGTCTAGCTGCTGCATTCCGGATTAGTTGTAGTTTCCAGGTCACCTTCAAAGTTAGTCCCATGTAGAGCGCATTGCAGTAGTCCAAGTGAGAGATAACCAGAGCATGCACCACTCTGGCAAGACAGTCTGCGGGCAGGGAGGGTCTTATCCTGCGTACCAGATGGAGCTGGCAGACAGCTGCCCTGGACACAGAATAGGCCTGCGCCTCCATGGACAGCTGTGAATCTGTCCTTCAAAAACAGTGGTCTTTTACTTTGGCAACCTAGGAAAAAGGTTGGCCTTGTTTCTCAAGACCATGGGGTGCACACTCACTGGCCAATATTTCGTTTTTGACATATGTTTCTGATTTGTTTATCATGCCAACATGGGAGTGTCAGGCTGGTGGGAACTGAGTCACAGAGGTTTCCTGGCCACTGGCATTGCCATGGATTTGGCTGAGACTGAATGCAGCTGCCTCCTTAAGACATCAAGTATGGTCATGGAATCATACAACTGTAGAGTTGAAGGGGACTCTGAGGCTGATCTAGTCCAACTGCCTGCAATGCAGGAGTCTCATCTAAAGGGTCCATGACAGAAGCAGGATAAGCTCCAACTCCTGGCAAGGGAAGAAGCAGTTAAAGGGGCTCGGACCTGATGCTATCAAGAGGAATGTTCATGGCAATTGATGTAAATGTAATATTTAGAGTTATATTAACTTTTTCCATAAAGGAAAGGCATTGGGACTATTTGCAGGCACTGTTCACACATTCTCACCTGTGTCACATATAAAAGAAACTGCAGCTCTTTCTATATTCGGGTGCCCTTCACATTGAAAAACTGTCACGGAGGATGCCATGAAATGTGAGAGGTGTTTCTGGGCCCAATTAGTATTAGTGTTGAAAGCCCTGAATTATTTGGGATCCAGGTACTTGAAAATATTTATTTGTTTGTTTCATAGAATGGTAGAGTTGGAAAGGACACTAGAGGTCCTCTAGTCTGACCCCCTGCAATGCAGGCATCTTAGCAGAAGCATTCCTGGCAGACGGCCTCCAACCTCTGCTTAAAAACCTCCAAGGAAGAAGAGTCCACCACCGTCCAAGGGAGTCCGTTCCACTGTCGAACAGCTCCTCCCCTCAGAAAATTTTCTTCCCTCTTCCTGGGCCACAGCATTTGACAGGAAGGAGTGGTGGAAAGACCACCTGTGCCCCAAGGCTCTCCAGCTTCCTGCCCAGAGTCTCCTGGTCCCTTGCTATATGTTGAAGGTTGTGTGTGGCAGTCTTAGTTGTACCCACAGGAAAACGAAGGAAGGGGTAGTGGTCAGTGGGCTTTCTATAAGACTTGGCAACTTCTCTGTCACATTTGGAATCTTTGCACCTGGAAGGCAGGACACCTCCAGGGACATCCTGTTAGCTCTGCACTCTGCTGCATGTGTCCCCCTCAGCAGAGAGTCACTTACCACCATCACGAGTCTCTTCCTCCTCTGCGGAGGGGCAGGAATTGTTCTCTACACAACCTTCCCCAACTCCCTTGGTGTGTTCTGAGGTCTACAACTGCTGCACTTGCTCCTCTGGCCCACAATCGGCACAACTTGCACAATGATCTCTGTGGCTTTTGTTTACATTGTTTAATTTCCTACATTAAAACTGACATATAACTGAACGTGTGGGGAGAAGGGGATTTCGTATTTGCCGCGTTCAGTAGCTCAGACAAGTAGGCAATATACCTCCTGGCTAGCCAATGAGGGTGCAGGGCTCCTACTGCAAGAGGGACTGTTCTTAAAGGCAAAATTTGAAAGGTTTGCATTTTTTTTTGCATTTCTGTGTTAAAACCACAACTCCCCAAAAATCGCAAGTCCCCACCACAGCCTCTTAACTAAGGCCAAGACAATGACCATTGACACAGGCAGCATAAACACCCAAAACAGCAAAGAAGCTCAGAAAAGAAAACTGTAGCAATAGGTGGTTACCATGTATCGTACTGTTTCCTCCGACTATCCAGTATAGAATCAAATAATCTCCAAAATTCAATGGTTTGACCCATTTCCTTGGTTCCAATGTCTAATGACTCCTCTGGAAGAGGGGAATCCAGGGCTCCACCTGCCTCCATAATCCCTGAGACACACAATCACGTACACAGCACCCCTACCTTGAGGGAAACAATGGAACCCCCGCTGATGGGTTTGCGGAGGTCAGGTGTTCCCAAAGTCCATCCTCAGGAAGGCTGGAGGGCAAGGATATGCATACATAGTTTTATTGTTCTTTGGGTGGTGGGTACTTAAGGTGGAAAGCATAATGCTGGTGGTCAACAAAAGAGGTTGAAAGACAGTCTCAAGGCATTTTTTAAAAAATGTAGTATAAACACCAGCAACTGGGAAACACTTGCCTGCGAGGGCCCCAGTTGGAGAACAGCCTTTCCCAAAGGTGTCCTGGGCTTTGAAGACACTCGAACTCAGGACGCAAGGGAGAAACGTGCTAGGAGGAAGGCATATTTGGCAAATTCTCATTGTGGTCAACTCCCGCCAGGAAACCAATGTCCCCACTGTGGAAGGACGTGGGGATCCAGAATTGGCCTCTACAGCCACTTACGGACTCACTGTTAAAACCGTGTTTATGGAAGACAATCTTACTCGGCTACGAGGCATCGCCAAAGGAGAGCTCCAAATTTCTTGACTGGAACTTCCTTCTTTTACTGACAGCACACACCCGCGGGGAATTACACCCTTGGGAGTTGGACTCCTCGTCTCTCACCCCGGAATTTTTTCCTAATCATCTGTAATAGAAATGCGTGATGAGTTCTTGGCTTTTAACGACTGTTTCATTGAAAAGTTTGGGTTGTGATTTTGGTCACAATCATGAGAATAAGGTTTAAACCTAAAAAACAAACAAACCCAAAACAATATTAGCAGCAGCAGTAACCTAGCCACTAACACCCCCCCCCCCGCTCTGTGCTGTTCGGTCCCTGTGCCCACCGTCTGTGCCCCCGGGACTCGCCATCTTTCACTCGGTCCAGCCCGTTGCTGAGCCGGCTCAACTGGGGACCCGCAGGACCCCCATCGCCTTCCCTGAGCAGGAGCTCCATTTCCACTCGAGAAGGTCCGAGGGGGCCTGTCCCTCCCGCTGACTCCCCTTCTTCCTCTTCTTTTTGGGGAGACGCGGCGGAGGAATCTGTTTCGTGGCCGGGAAACATAGCTGTTCTGCTTCTGGCCAAGGGAAGGAACGACGCGCACCGCCAGCCAGGAGGGTCCAACGGCAAAAGGCGTTTCCTGCCTCGCTGGGGGTTGGACTAGATGGCCGCGGGGGGTCCCTGCCAACTCTGCAATGTTGTGGCAACAGCTCTGGGTCTCCGCGCGGCACACGCGGCGCCTGCGAGTTCCTGCTTTGAGAGGGAGGGGAGAGAGGTGTGCGCCCGGCTTGCCAAGGGTTAAATGCACGGAGCCACCTTCCCCAAGAGGACAGGGGAAAGGGGGGGGCTCCTCCTTGGCAAAAGCCCCTCCCTCCCTGCCGGGGGGGGGGCGACGACCGACCCTCTGCAACTGCCTCCTCGTGGCGCCTCCGGGGACCCGGTGAGTCTCCCGTTCCCCTCTCCCGACAGACCCCATTGGGAGAAGGGGGTCCCAGGGCTGCAGGGGGTGCATGGAGGGCTGCTCTGCTCATGTGGGGGGGACAACGACCCCCAAGTCAAGGAGTGGAGGGTCCTGCCAGGGAGAGGCGAGCTCGCAGGAGAGCGGCAGCTCTGCGCTTCTTTTGCACCGATGAGCCGCCGGCTGCTTTAGGGGGAGGATCTTTGGGTCAAGGGAGGGAGGAACGCACGGGAATAAACCCATCTCAGATTCACATTTATTAACTGAGGTTGTTGTTGTTGTTGAGTCGTTTAGTCGTGTCCGCCTCTTCGAGACCCCCTGGACCAGAGCACGCCAGGCCCTCCTGTCTTCCTCTGCCTCCCGCAGTTTGGTCAAACTCATGCTGGTAGCTTCAAGAACACTGTCCCACCATCTCATCCTCTGTCGCCCCCTTCTTCTTGTGCCCTCCATCTTGCCCCAACATCAGGGTCTTTTCCAGGGAGTCTTCTCTTCTCATGAGGTGGCCAAAGTCTTGGAGCCTCAGCTTCAGGATCTGTCCTTCCAGTGAGCACTCAGGGCTGATTTCCTTCAGAATGGAGAGGTTGGATCTTCTTGCAGTCCATGGGACTCTCAAGAGTCTCCTCCAGCACCAGAATTCAAAAGCATCCATTCTTCGGCGATCAGCCTTCTTTATGGTCCAGCTTTCACTTCCATACATCACCATCTGATAAGACATTCCCCTACACCCC